GGGACCAATCTATGATAGGAACGTCGTACCGTTATAGGATTAGCTAAAAAAACAAGGGGGGGGGGGGAGAATGGTGAAAATGCCCAAACAGTATATTAAAGTGTAGAGCAGCTGTTACTAAGGCAAAATCTACATACCGTAGGCCTATGTAATGTGTAGGCCAACGCGTCACTACACAAACAGTAGCAGAAGCAAAAAGGTGGTCCTGAAACAAAATAAAATTAGAAAAAGCGCAGATCCGCTTTAGATAAAGTTAAAATAATCAATTAGTGGTACTCGTGCGAGCCTGGGCTACTTGGTATGTAGATTTGGGATTGTTTTATATTTTATAGATTTGATTACAAATCTCTTATATAATTTCCTGGACAGCGCCACCAACGAGTAAGTTAATTAATTCGAAGAAAAAGAAATCATTTAACGTGCCCTAAGCGCAATAAAAAGGAAGTAACCCAAATTTAGGACCTGGAACCCAGGCCAGCAAGTTATAGCTATACACCCCTAACTTCACTCCCGCATACTCACACTTACCGTAAGATCTCCCAATTACGTACTCCTTTGTCCGAAATGTGTTCATAATTGAAAAAGTTTGTGATCCAGAGAATTTTAATTTTTCCAGTGGATACCTTCTAAAGAGCAACGTTGAAGGCTGTTATGTACAGGGTTAAGCCTATCAGCATCGAGCACATTATTTTCTTACCGATTAAAAATTTCTGTATGGAAGTTTTTGTTTTACAGTCTTGACTGTAGGCCCTATTTTAATAATATTTGAAAGAGTTTTCACGTGTTTGCAAACTGTAATGTAACATGTTATTTCCACTTGTCCTAGGTGTGAAAATATCGCATCAGAGAATTTTAATTTTTCCAGTGGATACCTTCTAAAGAGCAACGTTGAAGGCTGTTATGTACAGGGTTAAGCCTATCAGCATCGAGCACATTATTTTCTTACCGATTAAAAATTTCTGTATGGAAGTTTTTGTTTTACAGTCTTGACTGTAGGCCCTATTTTAATAATATTTGAAAGAGTTTTCACGTGTTTGCAAACTGTAATGTAACATGTTATTTCCACTTGTCCTAGGTGTGAAAATATCGCATCTTCTAGTCTTTAAAAAAAAAACCTCAATTGGTGCTGTAAAACGTTTCCATAGGCTGGGTTCCTTAGTGCTCGTTTTGCGTGTGGGAGATATGCAATGGGCTGTGAAAATCATGCGAAATCACTTCAGTGGTTGTGACTAAACCTTGTTTCCAGTAAAATTAATTAGTACATTTATTTCATTTTTATTTGCAGGTCGCGTATGTCAGCCTAAACAGGAATGACGCATCGGTTACGTGCGTTTCTGCGGGAGTACAATGCCAGTTCTTATAAATGGCCAAATGGCTTCAACTCTGCCATTTTCGAAGCGAGCAGTAAGCTTAAAAAAAATCGCCAACTGGAGCAAGCAATCTGTGATATAGACGACATGATTCGCAACTACTACATTCAGTGTATAGATAATATGGACAGAGTCTTTGTCTCTATAGGAAGTACACCAGAGGGAATCTCCTTAGCTTCATCAGATAGAGACGTTATGTTCCTTTCATTAAGATTGGCGGCAACAGAGCGTAATGTTCATGGTACTGAAAAGGGAATGTTACAGATTGAGTACACCACCAAGCCGGGGTATGTCAGACTGCGAGTCCCCGCAGCCACAGCCAGGACATATGGCATGATCCCCGGCCATGTGCACATGGAAAAACGACGACTGTACTTGAAGAACGATGCATAGAAAGATGGAATTATGGGTGATGGAGGAAATCCTGACATATCGCAAGTTCATGGACCGGCCCTGACCAATGAAGCCCGTATGCATGACACTGTACACGCCGTGCACTGTGCTCAATGGCCAAGTTGCGCCAAGGGTTTTCTAAGAAGAAAACGTGCAATTTCCAAGTGGCCGTCGTCAAAAGTCATGAGGCGTATCGTGCAAAAGGGTTGTTGTTTGGTTCCGGTGGGTCACCCAATGCATCACCAAGAAAACCTGCTGTGGAGAGTTTCCTTCAACATGGCTGAACAGGAGTTAATTCGTGGCTTTAATGACACCCAGGTGTTTTGCTGCTATTTGTTGAAGATGATGCTCCGTACACATTTTCACGAGGAAAATGTGCTGTGTTCATATTGGTGCAAGACCATCATGTTGTGGCTCGTGCAGAATACAGAACGTCGTTGTTGGAACAAGAAAAATTTTATTCCGAACCTTCACAAAGCTCTGTATCTGCTGTATCGTTTTATGGAACGCCATGACTTGCCAATGTTTTTTCTCCCGGAGAACAACCTCATCTCTCACAAGGATAAACAGGCTTGTCTCCGTGTAGCCAAGAGGCTCGGAGACATGCTGCATGTTTCAACCTTCATTCGCGCAGTGCTAGACTGCTTAACTAAAACACATTCGAGCGTTGCAGTGTTGACAACTGACGGGTCTCCAACAACAGTTCACAGCAATGAGCCGGCTTTTTACGAGGACGAGTCACAAAATCGCACTAATGTAAAGTCCTTCCTTGATGTCATGCATTGGCACTGGCAGGAAGATCACATTTTGCTATATAGCGATTGGGCTGTGGTAGAAGAAGCTCAAGTCATTGCTGCCTTCCTGGAGATTAATGAAGAGGATGATCCCCGCGCTATCGAGTACACGCAGTCAATGATACGAGAATCCGATGATGACTTCTTAAAGAAATTTGATGTTCTGCTACAACAGAAACTCGGACGAAGCCTGTTTTTTGAGCATCAGAAGACACGAATGACCATGCGGAAAACTGAACAGCTACTGGAGTCATCTCGCGTAATAACGTATCCCGTAAGCGGCTACCGAGATCACATCTATGGGACAGTGTACATGTCTTTCTTGCTCTACACTCGATCAAGGGACGCCGAGTCTTTAAGCAAATTACAAAGCATAGAAGAGGATATCGTCAAGGCACAGACCGATGCCGTCAAAGTAATTCTGATTGTTTTGTCTAATATTCATATGTGCCTTCTGGAACGCGATATTGTTTTACGTAGTTTGATCGACAGAATGGCGCTGATGCACGGAGAAACTCATGTGAACAGCGTGGCGCTTGCATTTTATCTTATGATAAGGCTTTCTGCTAAGCTTCAGCGAAAAGCACGCGCTCCACTAGTACGCCGATACATTCGACTGTTCCGAGGATTTGAGAAATATCTGCACAATCTTCCTCGAGTGCAGCTGGATGCCTACTATTTCCTACTGGAATATATAAATGTAGAAATACTGACTGACGGAAATTTTCAGTAAAAACCAGACTTTGTGTCTAAACTATACCAAACATTCAGAAACCCTGTCTTACCAACTTTTGCCTTCTATTCGTCATCCGCCAGTTACAGCAATTACTGCATTCATTAGATTTGCCCAAATGCTAGTTCTATACGAAAAATATTCATGTGATGTTGAAAATTTCAGAAATGCTTGAGTTTTATCGATTTTCTGACTAAGTATTTGTTGGCAGCTATAGGCGTAGGTGGGTGGGTTACGGGTACTGGTAGTGGATAAGGGTGGGGAAAGCATATGTCGTGGTCTGGCAACACAGCATCTTATATATCAGGGTTTTTATTCTGCAGCAATATGGAGTCGGTGGTATATGGTAGAATACTTGCCTTTTAAAAGCCAGTATTTGATATTGATATGGCATGTGGAGGGAATGAGGGGGAATTTGTGCATGCCCAGAGGGGGTTGGGGAAAATCTGTACCCTAAAGTTTATTTGTCAGTGTAAAATGTCTTTTCTTACCTGCTTCTGGCCGGCTGTAGGCCTACTTAAATTGTAATATATAAACGATGTAGTAGGGTCATGCCCGGGGGATTAGCGTGTGGCGGAGAGATAGGGTAGAGCATTGAGGAGGAAAGAGTATAACTTGAGGTTTGGCAACACCACACTACCAATGTAAACGTCATATCACATTTTGTTTCCTGTACTCTCATATGTTTTACTTAAAAGAAGTTTGGTCAGTGAATTAAGATGGGAATGGGGATGGAGATGGGGTTTGTTGGGGTCTTACATCACATTCACAATGTCATATTTAGGATGTTTTGCCAATGCATTAAGATGGAAATGTGGGGTGGTGAGGGTAATTTGTAGGGGGTCTTACATCACCTTCACAACTTAATATTGGTAGGATTTAGGTGTTTTGTGATGTATACCAATATTATTTGGCCTATAATATGCTTAGGAAGAAAATTACATTAAGCCTCAAGATGAGAGATTTTGCTTACCTATCTTAAAATGAACGATTCCGTTGTCTTTTTCTGCGAGTACTGTGCGCATTCATTTCTGCGTTGTTCGTTTCTGCGAGAAGTTGCTCGTTTCTGCGAGTAGGTTCAATTTGTTTCTGCGAGTAGGTAATTGTTCGTTTCTGCGAGTAGGTTGTTCGTTTCTACGAGTAGGTTGTTCGTTTGCAACTGTATTTTTGGCAGCAGTTGCCTTTCGTAGTTGCACTTTTTCCGCGCAAGCAACAAGGTCTGACCATGATCTGCTAACGACAGGTCTAGACCTAGAGCCACGAACTAGCCTAGGCCTAGTGACACCAGAATGTGTATGTTTGTTTATTATTTATGTTTATTTGCTTGTTAATTTGTTTGTCTTTCTCTTTATTCATATTGTTTATTTGTGCATTTTTATTTGTCTATATGTAGGCTTATTTGTATATTTGTTTTAGCTTATTCATTTGTTTCTCTGTTTGCATTTTATTTATGTATTTATTATAATTGACATCAAATACGGGTAACATTCATATTATGTATTACTGTATATATCGTACAATACTCAATCTCCTTTTCATTAACATTGCGGTCGTCTAACTTTAGTCATTTTAATCTACATCAGTGTGACCAGTGATGTAAATCAAATTAGGCCAAGGGCTGATGGGATTATGCTGAATTCCCCCCTCCCGCCGCCTAATGAAAGCAATACTAATGTCATATAGCCGTCGGAAGCATTTTGCAAGTGGTCCGGCCATTAGTCAGAGCGGGGGGTACTGAACAATTTTGGTTGTAAAAAAAGCCCGCTACCCCTATCCACGAATACAGGATTTTAAAATTAAAACTAGTGGAGTCTGAGAGCATCTCTCCAGAACAACGATGGTTGTTGAGCAACATTTTTTGCAACTCTGAATGCCCAGAAATAGATGCTGACAACGTGTAGGGCCGCTGGAAATAGAAGCTGGCAAACCTACCACCACCCATTCCCATCTGGACACAGAATGTGGTAGCATTGACCAAATTAAAATTCGTAGGAATATTTTACATCTTGGGAATAAGATAAATGTTATTAGGTCTACTGCGAATGATATATTGTTCAAGATTTAATTAAGTTGCTTATTTCTCCATGAATAATTAAGTACAAGAAACACGAATGCTATATATAATGCAAAAAATAACAATGACTATACTATAGTTATATTTACACGATGTGAAGTGTATTGTGAAATATACAGTCAAGTACAAGTGCAAGAAACACGAATGTATATATAATTCAAGAAATAACAATATGCAATTAATTAAAGTATGTTCTATGAATACACAGAATACAATATGCTATGAATTAACTTGGGAAATACAGTAGGCATATGCCTACACGAATAACGTAGAGTTTCGAGAAACATACTGGTGAAACAATTTAATTACCCTTACTTACCAAATTCAACCTGAAGCAAATTCAACCTGAAGCATAATCAATTATTTATCACGCCCTAGATGATTTGTACTATCACTTGAATTGTTAAACAATGTTTTAATTAAATCCTGTGTTTCCCTCTAGTAGACACTCTAAATTTACGTCAGACAGACCATGTAGGTACCTCCAGGTACAGATTTAACAGGAGATAAAGACATACTAATATAGAGCACTAACATTCAAGGGCTAACCAGCTTTTTTTTAGTAAAAGAGTGGAGGGACCTAATGTTGTTGAATGTGGCTGGTTTTACAGAGGTTACCGCGGAAACTTTGTGTACCTGGCTGGATGCCCAAAAAAATATGAAATAATGATAATAATAATAATAATGATAATAACGATAATAATAATAATAATAATAATAATAATAATAATAATAATAATAATAATAATAATATTAACAATAATAATAATATTAACAATAATAATAATAATAATAATAATAATAATAATAATAATAAGGGGATGATGATCCCAGAACCCCCATAGAAGGGAACTCCTATGGGCAGGGAACTCTGATAATTTAGAGATTTGAAAGGCTTTTTTCCTCCCCAAATTTCGTTTTTTTTTTCTCCCTGGCTGGGGAGCTCCCCTTGACGGGGGAGGAGAGGAAGATGTAGCCACTCAGACTCCATTGACACCACCACTGATTTGGTCATCAGTGTTTTACTCAACATAACAATGTAAATGAACTTTTTCTTGATCGTTGTGGGTATCTGTATAGGCTTACAGTGCGTTTTACCTTGATGATAAACTGATTGAATTTTTTTTTCTGCTTACTGTCATATACGAATTGACTGGGATTGACTCCTAAACATGGGATTTATTTTCTTCTTGTGTCATTTCATATAGATTCAAATCCTGTACAGTGCAGTGGTGGATCCAGAAATTTTAAATAAAGGGGGCCCAGAGAGGGGCTTTCACAGATGGAGGATGTAGACCATCTCAGTCCCACCAGGTTGGGGGTGAGATAAGAAAATGTATGATTATATGGCAACTCTAGATTTGTTGCAAAATGGGGGCCTGGGCAGTCGTCCTCCCCTGCGTCCGCCACTTAAATCTATACTGTAACCCTCACACTGCTTTCTAAGTCATTTAATTTATTCATTTTGCTATACCTGTCATCCAGGAAATGATACTCCCAACTGTGGCGGGTCCAGGAAGTCGAAATAGAGGAGTTCCAGGGAGGGTCTTGCGCAAATAGAATGTCTACCTGCCTCAGCCCCACAACTGTTGTGGGGATGAAAAAACTTATGATTATGGCACCAAAAAAATAGGAGGATGGGGTCCCGTGTGCTGACTGGGTTCCCCCCTTGAATCTGCCACTGTTCAATATAACACTTGACATCCTATCATATTGTTTCACAAATGATTAATTCCGGATGTCAAGCGAAAGATTTTTATATTCGAAAGATTTTTTTTCTTTAGACTCAATACAGTTTTTACAACCTATAAACACATTAACTACAGTGTACTGTAAATCCTGTGTTAACCTTCAGAGAACTTCATTTTAAAAAATGACCTATTAAGTAAGTAAATTATTGTTTTCGTTAAATTAGATGGAATTTAAATGTGGTTATATTACGCTAGTTTTAAGGTTTACTGTAAGCCAATCAGTTACACTTACTATACATCTTCGTGGTTAGTATAAAGAGAACTAGAACGTCGCTCCATTGAGTGCCTACCTACCCCCATATGCCTAAGTACAGAATTCACGAATACAGGCGATTTTCTCTTCATGTTCGAGGGTGGGTTTCAAGGAAACTTTACAGACGCACGTATACAGACGTCAATCAACATTTGGTTGCTCAACTCAAAAGGGGAACTTGTAATGTCCGTTATAAAATTAAAAAAAAAATCTATATTTTATGATAATAATAATAATAATAATAGGTCAATGTATAAGGCGCAAATAAACAAGGTGTAAGCACCAAATAATAATAATAACAATAATAATAATAATAATAATAATAACAATAATAATAATAACAATAATAATAATAACAATAATAATAATAATAATAATAATAATAATAATAATAATAATAATAATAATA